TACAAGGTTTGTCAGGCAGGATCTACCTGTGACAAACCTGTGCTGGTTTTCCCTCAGCATCGTTTCTCCTGCTGGGCCTGCACAAATGTTCTCTTTGATTATTTTCTCTAGCATTTTCCCAGGAATAGAGGTAAGACTGACTGACTGGTCTAAAGTTACCCAGCTCATCCCTTCTCCCTTTCTTGAAAATGGGCACCACATTTCAATGGGCATACCCAGTTCAATGCAGTGTTGGTGCAGGCACAGCAGAAGTTAGATGTGGATTTTCTGTCCTGTATGTCAGAGTCTACAAGGTGCACAGATAAACTATGCAGAGATACCCATGCTAAATCTGCATGTGCTAGCCTTGGAACCAGGGCCAGTATACCTACATGGCTATGTTCAAGCTAACAAGATCTGCTTCTCAGCAGAAGTACTTAGTCCATTGCAGTGCAGTGCTAATGCAGCTACACTTGTTTCCTATTCTGCAGGTAGGATGTGAAAGTACCTCTGCACAGAATTGGGACAAGTCTCTCTTCTTCCTCAAGGCTGAGATGTAGCCCCAAATATTGGATCCTTGGACCCTTTATATCTCAAATGTTAATATAGAGCTTGTTTCATCCCTGATCAACAATCTGTAGATGAAGGCAGTGGAAGGATGTCCTTTGTGGTAGTCTCTCCCACAAAGTTTTGCCTACATAGATAGCTATTTTGGGAGAAAGCATGAAAAAATCCACCCAGCTAGCTGATCTAGCTATGCCAGCTAAACCATGCTTTGGTCATCTTAGCTTATGTTAAAGAGGAGGGGAGGCAGTTGTACTGATAGAAACCCTCCTTCATTGTAGCATATGTCTACGCTAGCAGATTGCTAGCTAGGCCTGAATAACTGTAACAGTGCCACTCTTTCTCTCTGTTCTCTGCTTTTCCAAGCTTGCCAGCTAATCTCATCTTTATCATATTAGTTTTATTCAGGTATACTAGAGAGGTTTTGTTTATGAAAAAAGGAGCTGATATCATGCTGGTCATTGTTGCTGTGGAATTCTTCATATCAGTTCTCACATCAATTTCTTGCTGTTGCCTGTCATTAATGCTATCTTTTTATCAAGATTCGATAAATAAATCTAACCAATATCCAATTTGTATTCAAGGATACATAAGCTATTTTACAATAAATGTTTTATGCTGCTGAATATGAGGTTCAAGGGTAAAAATATTAACAGAAACATAAAAAGATTCTATTCAACCTTGGGAATTCCAACCAATTTCCCAATTAACATTCTGACCATTCAAAATGAGTCCAGATCAAAGGCCTTCCCTAATCTTAGAATCCGTTGGACTAATGTAAGTGAGGCAAACCAGATTTTATAGCCAGCAGCAAGCAAGGGCATCATGTGCTAGTATCCCATCCAGCTGTTCTGACTCATGCCCTCCCCTCCCCAGTCAGGATGGCCAGAGACTCATTTACAGCTGGGGACACTCTACCGCCATCATTATATTTATGACTAGGAATCAGGCTTAAAATTCCCAAAAGTAAATAGAAAAAGGGGCAACTGTGAAAATCAAATTACTTCTTTTGTTTTTTCAGCTTTAAGACAGAAAGCAATTTTCTGAGCTCTTTTCATGAGACATTACAGCCCCCTGTTCCAAAGTAACTATAGGCCCCCAGAGTAAGCCGCTAGTTCCAGCTGGTGTTGTTTATGGTATACCTCCAAATGACTCTCTGCTGCAAATAAAGAACAAAGAATACTCCTCTTAGCCCTGGTCCTGCAATCAAGACGGACAAAAAGTGCGAGAACTCACAGCAAAGGAATCATTTCTTTCTTTAAAATAGTGTACCTTGTTGTGCTTTATGTTAGAGATTCCTACCTTACTATGTGCTAAACTAGGACTTCAATGGAGAAAAGTTGTGTATAGCAGAACATGTGGATAGGACTAAAAGAAACCTCCTTACAGGACCTTCACCTATCGCAGGAGGTACGCATTCCCACTAGGGGAAATGCCTTACTAGACTTGGTACTGGCCACAGGGGACGACGTGGTGTGGGATCTGCAGGTGCAAGGTAACCTAGGGGATAGTGACCACCCATTGATAGGATTCACTATCTGGAGAAAGGTGGGGAAGATAACTAGTAGGGCGGAAGTGCTAGACTTCAGGAAGGCGAACTTCAGCAAGCTCAGGAGATTAGTTAGGGAGAGACCGACTGGTAAAAGCCTTGGAGAGATAGGAGTCCAGAAAGGGTGGGCATTTCTCAAGGGACTAATCCTGCAGGCACCGAAAAGGACCATCCCAGTACACATAAAAGGGGGCAAAAAAGCAAAGAAACCCTCTTGGTTAAGCAGGGAAATCCAGGAGAGCCTGGAGGGGAAAAAAAGAGGCCTATGGGCTGTGGAAGTAGGGGGCTGCCACCAAGGAGTATACCTGCTTGCCTCAAACTTGCAGGGAAACAGTAGAAATGGAGCCAAAGTGGAAATGGAGGTTAGGCAGGAAGCAAAAGTTAAGGATAACAAAAAGTCACTCTTTAAGTACATAGGAAGCAAAAAGATGGTGCAGGGTAACTTGGGGTCCCTTCAGGATGAACTAGGGCAACTGGTAACAGATAGGATGGCCAAAGCGTAGCTTCTAAATGATTTCTTTGCATCCGTGTTCCTGGACACAAATACAAATACACATCCCATTGGGACCTTAGGTAAGCCCGGTATCGATACCAACCCACCAAATGTTCATGCTGCTCTAGTAAAGGGGCACCTGGAGGGGTTGAATGTATTTAAGTCAACAGGTCCTGATGATCTTCATCCTAGTGTACTTAAGGAATTAGCTGGAGTCATAGAGGAGCCACTGGCACAACTGTTTCAGCACTTGTGGTGCTCAGGACAGGTCCCAGGGGATTGGAAAAGGGCCAACGTGGTCCCTAGTTTCAAGAAGGGGAGGAATGAGGAACCAGGTAACTATAGGCCGGTTAGTCTCACCTCTATCCTTGGCAAGACCTTTGAGAAAATTGTTAAGGATCACATTTGTGGGGGACCAGCGGGTAAAATGATGCTAAGGGGCAATCAGCATGGGTTCATAGCAGGCAGATCCTGCCTGACTAACCTGGTTTCATTTTACGACCGGGTCATAAAATGCTTGGATGAAGGAAGGTAGATGTTACTTACTTAGGCCTTTGACACAGTGTCACACCCAATTCTTATAAATAAATGAAACAGTTGCCATGGAGATTATTACAGTCTGGTGGGTAGAAAATTGGCTTATGGGATGCACCCAGAGAGTGGTGGTGGACGGGTTGGTTTCTACCTGGAGAAATGTAGGCAGCGGAGTCCCCCAAGGCTCTGTCCTGGGACCGGTACTATACAATATCTTCATTAGTGACTTGGACGAGGGAGTAGAAAGCACCCTGTCCAAGTTTGCTGATGACACCAAACTATGAGGTACACAAGCTAGACAGCAGGAAGCGAATCCAGGCTGATTTGGACAGGCTGGGCAAATGGGCCGAACAGAATAGGATGCAGTTTAACAAGGATAAGTGTCATGTGTTGCACCTGGGGAGGAAGAATCATCAACACTCCTATAGCCTGGAAGGTACCACTCTAAGTAGCACAAGTGCGGAAAGGGATCTCGGAGTCATAGTCGACTCCAACATGAACATGAGTCACCAGTGTGATGAGGTAATAAGTAAAGCTCACCGCACCCTTTCTTGCATAAATAGGTGCATCACAAACAGGTCTAGGGAGGTAATGGTTCCCCTCTATGCGGCATTGGTCAGGCCGCAGCTGGAGTACTGTGTAATTTTGGGCACCGCACTTCAGGAGGGATGTGGATGGCCTGGAGAGGGTTCAGAGGAGGGCCCCATCTGGTTAAAGGCCTACAGAAAAACTGCTATGTGGATCGACCGGGAGACCTGAAGCTCTTCAGCCTCTGCAAGAGGAGGCTGAGAGGTGATCTCATGGCTGCCTACAAATTCATCGGAGGGGCCAGCAAGAAATAGGGGATACAATATTTACCAGGGTGCCTATCAGGGTAACTAGAAATAATGGCCACAAACTGGAAGAGAGCAAATTCAGATTGGACATCAGGAAAAAATTCTTTACAGTGAGGGTTGCCAAAATATGGAATAAGCTTCCAAGGGAGGTGGTGCTGTCCCCTGCCTTGGAGGTATTTAAAGGAGATTGGACAGACACCTGGCTAAGGTCATCTGACCCCTGCACTCATTCCTGCCCGGGGCAGGGGATTGGACTCGATGATCTAATAGGTCCCTTCTGACCCTAACATCTATGAAAAACAGAAAAACTCAAATCAGCAACATTTACCACAATTCCTTTTTTTATTACCTTTATGGGACCTAATCTGAAACTCACTGATATCTGTGGAAAGGCTGCCATTGACTTCTGTGGACTTATAATCAGGTACTAGGCATAAAAAGTTTCCATACTTGATCAATCATAATAAATTCTGAGGTCATTTTTAATTGGTTTATTAAAATATTGTGCATTTTAAATAAACAAATGTGATTTGTTTTCCTTTATAAAACCCAGCCCTCTTCAGATAAGGCATGACAACAGCCAATAACAGCTCCTGACTTCTAAAATGCTGTAAAATGTGTCAAAGGAAGTCTGAAATTACTAATAATTGGAAGAAATGCTTACTTTGAGTAAAAGAAACTTACAGGAGATGATCGTTATGTAGACTGAAATATGACTTGCACAGCAGAAAAATAGAAGAGTTCTTGTATTTTCAAAGGTCTTTGCATCTTCGATTAGCCAGATCAACCAGATTGTTTCATTCAAAGACAGAGATTATACATGTGGGCTAGGATCATCAGTCTGAAGCTAAACATAGAGATAAAGCTACATGTTATCTTCCAATATCATACTTGATTTGCTTGTTATAGACGGTGTCTGTTAGTGATTTCACACCTTGTGCATTTATCAACTGGGATTAGAAATGAGAATTAAAATGCATATTTTTAAAATTCCTTAATTGGACAGCATGCCTTTTATTACAAAATTTCATTTTTTTTCTTTCAGAAGAGGGATTTATAAATGTAACTGACTCCAGAGAAGATTTTGAGATTGATCTACAGGAGAAGTTTTGTTTTGAAGTTAAACTTAAAGCTTATCCACCAATTACGTGTGTGTGGATATTTTCACAAAAATCATTTCCTTGTGGGCAAATTTACAGCATGGATGACTACAGGTACTTAATGTATTCTCAATATTTCCATTGACATTTGTACAAAGTCTCCTTGTGTTTTTTTTGTCTTAAATGAAAAAATAGACAAGTACTCAATCATTTTTTAACAAGTAGCACATGAGCATTGTTTTGATTTAATTATTTTTAATGTATTTAGTTTAGTTGTAAAGCAGTGTTGTGGAAATAGTCCATAACGTTGCCTTTGTTTTCAAATGGCAACTTAGGTCAATAGCATATTCTATCATATTTGCTTAATCCATGTATTATAACGAATCTTTTTTAAAGTAATGAATACAACATCCCTTTTCACATATTTATATTATACTTCCAAAAAATTCCATTACTCTATCACAGACATATTTTCCATAATTGATCATAATGATCAATGTTCCCAATATCGTTCAGGGTGCTAAAGTCAAGCCTATAGTTTCCTACACCTTTGGTGATCTCTTCAGGTTTTCTTCACTACAGAAATGTCCCGTTCTAATTCCTGTTCAGTTCATGTATGCTTCCTGTGTTACAAAATATGTTTTGGAAAAAGCTGCTGGTTAATTCCCTTTTCTGTTACTTCCTACAATAAAGTTCTGGTACAAATATTTTCTAGACCTAATGTTTCATCCATTTCCCAGGTTTTTTAATTTCTTGATAACATAGTCTAATTTCCTTCAGTGTTTCTTCATTGTTATAAAATATAATCATAAGGCATTTTAATTGGTAATCTTTATCTGCAAGGTAATTTCCAACTTCTTTCTAAATATGACCTGTGCAAAATCATAGCTGATTTAATAGTCCTATGCTGATTTGATTTTTTTGTTTTGTTTTTGTTCCTCATATTTTTAAAATCTCTTGTTACTTGCTTAAAACTGCTGCAATCTTGCTTTCACTTTTTATACCTGCTTTTCTTATGATTTTGATAAACTCCCCTTTAGCCGTTATCCTTTCCAGTCCTCTTTTGTAGCTATTGTGGCCATCCACTTGGGTCAGATGGAATAGATGGATATGCACTTCAGTATGGTTCAGGATCCATATCAACCTGGTAAATCATCCTCTCCTGGCAATGGATGCAGGAAGTCTGTCCCTGCTGATAACATTAGAACTGTGAGCAGACTGTGGTAGCATTGATAGATGGATGCTGGTTGACTCGTCCATAATGCCTGAAGTGGGTAGGCAGATCTGTTCTTCAGTGGTTACAATCATTCCTGGAGATGGGACTTCAAAAAGCAGTCATGAGAATTTGCTCATTCCTGTCCAAGAGGTACCACCCACATGCTGAAAATACTCTATTTATTTACCTTCTTGCTGTCATAGACTGGCTACACACTGCCTGAACATTTAGCAGATGGCTTTGTTGGATGACTGACAACTGATTTTAATTAAATCTAAATAAGACTAACGGGTCAACAATGGCATCTTTTGGAAGGCTGAGATGGTTTTAGCAACTACCACTACTAATCAGGACAGTGAGAAGATCACTAAGGATGGAATTTAGTAGTCACTCTAGCCTGATTTTTCTTCAGACGACAAATTCATGATGCCTTCTTATTTCAGTATGGTGATTACCATGTCCAGACCTGTGATAAATCTGAGCTTTTATCTGTTGTTCTGGTATCACTGTGCTTGTTCACACCCCAGTCATTGCTAGTCTCTTGTCATTTAATCGTCTTTGAATATCCCTTGAAATAGATCTGGGAGATGCTTGTTACAGGATGCAGCTGCCCATCTGAGATAGAATCATAGAAAATTAGGGTTGGAAAGGACCTCAGGAGGCCATCTAATCCAACCCCCTACTCAAAGCAGGACCATCCCCAACTATATAATCCCAACCAAGACTTTGTCTAGTCGGGTCTTAAAAGTCTCCAAAGATGAAGAGTCTACAACCTCTCTGGATAACCTATTCCAGTGTTTTACTACCCACCTAGTGAGATTTTTTTCCCCTCATATCTAACTTAAACTTCCCTTGATACTTGTTCTGTTGTCTGTCACCACTGAGAACAGTCTAGCTCCATCCTCTTTGGAAACACCCTTTAGGTAGTTGAAGGCTGCTGTTAAATCCCCTCTCAGTCTTCTCTTCTCTAGACTTAATCATTTTTGTTGCCCTCCTCTAGACTCTCTCCAATTTGTCCACATCATTTCTGTACTGGGAGGGCCCAAACTGGACACAGTACTCCAGATGTGGCCTCACCAGCCAGTTCCAAATAGAAGGGAATAATCACTTCCCTTGATCTTCTGGCAACACTCCTACCAATATAAACCAGTATGGCATTAGCCTTCTTGGCAACAAGGGAACACTGTTGGCTCATATTCAGCTTATTGTCCACTGTAACCCCCAGGTTCTTTTCTGCTGAGTTGCTGCTTAGCCACTTGGTCCCTAGCCTGTAAGGGTTCCAAGGGTACTCATTTTTACTGAACATTAGTTTTTAAAAGTGTTTTTTTTATAATTTCCCAGATAATTATGCTCAATGCTTAGTGACATTTACAAAATATCACATAGGCTTTATTTTCCCATGAGAATAAATCCACTTTACAGATGAGTGCAAAGGATGGAGAAGGCATTACTGATTATTCAATAATCAGGTAAAGTATGTCATTCTGCAAAAACAAACCAACCAACCACAACATACTCAGCATATCTATTCAGTTTTGATAGACACTAGGGATGTGTGAAGTGGGACCTATTCAATTCGGATTTGGATTCAGCCTGAATCAGGGACAGTAATTTGATTCGTTGATTCAGATCACTGTCCCTGATTCGATTCGGCCGAATCTGAATCCGAATCTGAAGGTTCGATGCTGATTCAAAGAATCAGCAATTCGGACATAGGTACAGCTTTAAATGTTTTTTCTACATACCTCAAGGTACCAGGCGGCTCGTGAACACTGCAATGCTGAGGCGCATGGAGTGTCCCACAAAAGCACTGGGGGCTCTCCAATACACTCAGCAGCAGACCTGGAAGTGGACCAGAAGCAGTTCTGGTCCACTTCCAGGTCTGCCAGGGAGCACGCTGGGGGGCCCTCCTATGTCCCCCTGGCTCAGCGACTGGTGCCTCCTGGGTCTGGGAGGGACACCCAGGGTCTCCCTGCAGCCAACTGCTGAGCCATGGGGGTGCCGGAGGGCCCCAGCACACTCCCCAGCAGACCCATAAGTGGACCAGAAGTACTTCCAGTCCACTTCTAGGTTCACCGCTAAGGAAATGGGGGGGAGGGGAGGGGGCCCATGCTCCTGTAGGACACTCCATGCACCCCAGCATCACAGCGATCATGAGCTGTGCTGGTACCTCAAGGTATATAGAAAGTTGTGTCTATGTCTGAATCTCCAAATCTTTGCAAATCAATTCAGAGGGTTCCGATTCAATTCAGAGAGATTAAAAGGGCCTCTGATTCAATTCAGATTCGGAGATTCAGCCACCGAATCAGGCCAAATCTCCACCGAATCAAATCAGGGACCGAAGCTTTGCACTGCCCTAATAGACACATCCAGCTTGATCAATGCATGTGGTACTGCAAATTTCATGCCATGTAGTAAAATCACCAGAAGATGAAAGACTCAAATAATACTAAAAGAACAGAGAAAATATTACTTGTTATACTACTGCAGTGGTTCTCAGTCTTTTTAGAGTCAAAGCATGCCTCACGAGACTCAAAGCATAGCTCAGAAAATGCAAGCTCTTAGCTTTCACTCTTTTTTAACTATAGAAAAATAATAGAGAAATTCTTCTGTTGCAAAAAACTCAGAAAGACCACAACAGGTCAGAATGTTTTTGACACTATGGATTCCTGTTTGAAACCTATTGTGAATCACGTGTAGGTGTTAGCTCACCTAACAGCACTAATACTGTACAGCACCTTTAAAAGGATCTCACATCACCCCAGTGGCACCTGAGTAAGAACCACTGTACTACTACATAATGTTTCTCTAAACCAAAAATATCATTCCTTTGATTACTCTTTGGTTATGATTAGGAAACTTGTTAAAACGTTCTAAATATAGGACATAGATAAACTATAGGTCTCCACATACTGTAACACATTTTTTCCAGCTTGTGTTTTTCAGTTTATGTCTGAGTAATCATCTATCCCAACACTTCTACTTTCTTCTATTCATATCCCTTTTTGATTCCTGTTGTTTCCTTTTTTTATTTCAGTTATTTCCTTCTCAGGCTGTTCCTCCTTATTGCAGCTTTTGGAGGTTTCTGCTATGTACTCAGCTACTTTTTTAGCTTTTAATTTCAAGCTATAATGATCAGGCCCCACCTGTGGTTCCCCAACGGATAAGAGTCACCACAGGTTCTTTTAGACTTTCCATTTTCTGTTCTCTCTTTATAAAGGAGAGTCTGTGTTGACCATGCTGCGGATTTTCACTTCCTTACTGTGTGGCACTTGATTCATAAAGGCAAAATGTCTCTGTTTGCCTTTATACCCCTATTAACTTGCTTTTTCTGTTATTTTTATTCCAATACCCAATCAACTTCTCTCAAACAACCCCATCAATACTTTCCTGGCACTTAAACCCTCAGATGTAGATTTTTCAAAAGCAATGAAAGATTTTGGGTATCTCCTTTTCTGGATGCCCATCTTGAGACTGCAAATGGGGGATCTGCTTTTGCAGAAACTGATGAGTCCCAGGGTCTTTAAAGGTGTTCCAAGTTGACCACTTTAAAATGAGACATTCAGATCAATAATCATGTATGAAAACTTTGAACTCTGTCAGCGAGTTAAACTAGCAGTTCCTTCAATGGGAATTTTCTTGCTTTAGAGTTCCATGCAGATAGACTGTGCTTTGTCTCACTCTATTTACTCTGGTTCATCTTGCTTTTTATTGAAACCCTCCCTTCCCCTGTTTTGCCTTTAAGAAGTACTATTACTTTTTCTGTACTTCTGCCTATTGATTCAGGCTGTCATTTTTGATCTGTTTCAGATTTCTCCCCTATACCTACATTCTTTAGCCCTACTTACTGAGTGAAACTACCTATTCAACTCCCCTCTCCTCATTCTTTCAGTTAGGACATCTGTGCTCAAGAGCTTTACTATCACAATACAACAAACATCTCCATTTAGTGTTCTGCTAATGATGAGGAACCACCAAACTACCCTTTCAAACTGCCCAAAAGGCAGATAAAAATAAACTAATCATAGTATCATAGTCCTTAGGGTCAGAAGGGACCTAAACAGATTATCAGGTCTGACCCCCTGCCCCGGGCAGGAACGAGTGCCGGGGTCATATCACCCCAGCCAAATATCTCTCCAGCCTGCTCTTGAAGACCCCCAAGGTAGGAGAGAGCACCAGCTCACTTGGGAGTCCATTCCAGAGCCTGGCAGCCCTAACTGCAAAGTAATGTCTCCTGATGTCCAGCCCTGAACGTTTTCTCTAAAAGTAATCCAATACTTCTCTCTAAGTAATCCAATTACTAGATTTACAATGCACTCTCCACAAGATGAATATTTAAATATACTTTCCTTTAAGACTTTCCTTAATCAAAAGTTTTCTCTAAGAAGCCTGTCTTCCCCATATTTTTTCATTCTGGATGTATGATTAGCATTTTAATCTTACCCAAAGGCCTACATTAGTTGGGTGCCTGCCTAGGTTCAAGCAGCACCACCTTAGTTGTCTGTGATAAAGGCTCAGCACCCATTCAGGGATGCATTCTCTCTCTCTCATCTAACACATAGGTTTGTAAAAAAGCTACTGACAGCTAGCATGCACCCAAAGAAAGTTTCAGAAAGTGTTTTGCATTGTATTGGCAAATACAGTATTGATGTGATGTTGCAGTGATGGCCCAAGAGATATGCAAAAAGCAAGACTTCTTGCCAGTGACATCTTTTATTGTATCAACTGTATGGTTGGTACAGACATGGCAAATATAAGGAATTTAAATATTTCTGGAGTGTGTTCTTATTTATGTTTAATCAGAAAAATATACTGGATTCTTAACTGCTCAGTGTGTGTATATACACACACATGCATACATGCACACATAGTTGAATCCTAAATACATCTAATAATGCACCTAATCTATAAATATGCTTAAATAATACTTTTTTATCACTTTTCTCTACAGCATTTCTTCCAGGTTCTGTGATCATCAATATCAGTCAGGGAAATATATATTCTATGCTGAAAATGATGATACACATGTAGAGAAAACATTAACATTGTGTGTGAGAAGTAAGTAAAAACAATGCGCATTTGGTAAAATCATGGACGAGAAATCGTGACCTCTTTGGAGTCAGTCAGGGGGAATATTAGCATTGACTTCAATGGGGCCAGGATTTAATCTTATAGGTATTTTCCCCCTCTCTTTTTTCATCCTTTAAATATATGTACTGATGTATTATATCATACATTCCCTTTTTGAATCTGGAATTTGCAGAATATTCAAGAATGCTCTATAACTAGATGGAAAATAGATTGTATAAGACAGTAAAGCAAACCTACCTTAAAAAGAAAAAAGAGATGGGATATTTGGAAATTTAAAATTTAGCCAAGACTATTTAGTAATGACCTCAGTTGGCAGGGGAGGATGGGTAGGGGGCCAGGACAACCCAATATGGCTTCCCAACCCACATTCACTACCTCCCTTAGAAAAAACCAAGGTTTTTTCTTTATTTTTAAATTCCTTCCCATCGCTACCCACTCCTACTTCCCTGTCTCACTCCTAGGGGAGTTTCCCCCATCCTTTAATGTCATTTCCAAACTTGTAACTCCCTCTCTCCTGCCGGGCAGCTGTGGCTATCCCATCCTACCCACTTCCTATTAAGCATTCTCTATATCCAGCTCACTTGTAATCTCAATTTGCTTTGTACTGCTCTTCTACAGATTTTAATAGAGGTTCCCTTGATTTAGAACAGGGTAAGTTTGAAGAGAATCAGGCTTCCAACCTTTATGGAAGCCAAATGGAAAACACCTAAAATCTCCCAGTTATATTATCTGAACAGGAAATCATCCTTTAACAAATAATTCCTTCCCTTAACATGTCACAAGCACAGAAGTAAAAAATGGAGACATGAATCATATACCCAGAAAATAAAAATTTCTTAGGAAAACCACAAAGGATTTCAAAGGCTATGTCCTAACTGATATACAAATACATTACTTCAAAGAAGCAAAATAAAGCAGGACTTTGAATAAACCAAAAACTTGATATTTGGAAGGAGTTATATGATTACATTTAACTCATTTGGTGTAATTTACAATAATCTGCTTGTAGTTTCTGTACTTGATGCTGTTACTGAGTTAATGAAATCATGCCTAAATCCTTGAACATTAAGTATGTTTCAGTGTTGCATTTCCATGAATCTGTATTCACACACACACCTTCTGATATATTTTTTTATTGAACACTAGCCAATTGCCCATCAAAAATGATGGGGGTGGGGGAGGGGCTGGGATGGAGTGCTGCCACCTAATGCCCTATTCTGTTGCTGTTCTGCCTCCTGCAGGGAGCGGGGTCGGGGCGCTGAGGCCAGCGCTACTGGCCTTGGCTCGCACACCCCCTGTCTGGTCCTCGGCGCAGCTTGCAGGGAGCGGGGTGGGCTGGCCTTAACTTCCACCGCTTGGTCCTCCGCACAGCTTTGGAATCATGGTGGCACTCCCCCACACTTGGAGCACTCTGATTAGCTGTTTCCGTCAGCCAATCGGAGCGCAAATAAAGCATTATGGACAGACAGAGACAGACAGACAGACAGACTTAAGCTTTTATAATATTAGAAGGCTCAGGAATCAGGCCTGTGCTACATGTTAGTGCTGTCTTGTAACCACTTAATAACCTACAATAAAATGGTCTTTAATGGGAGTTTTTGAGAGTGGGGCAGTCACAATTTGGGGGTTTTTTTGAGTCACAAGTTCAAATTCTGCCTCTGCTACTGATTAACTATGAGATATTGGTTCAGTTACATGCCTTGATTTTTCTCTGGTAAAGTAGAAGTAATAGTACTAGTAATAGTAATAATAACAACAACAATATGTAATAACTACAATATGAAATGTACTTCACAGATACGTTTGAAAATTAATTGCAAAAGCCTTTGGAATTGGAGCACCTTATAAATGCATGAGCAGCTTTTGGTCCTTTTTGATATGGCTATCCCTCTACCATAACTGAATTATTGACTAAAGTATTGTTGAAAACCTGATTACATATTTGTTGCAGGGGAGCCTGAGATAATGATATATTCAACATCCAGAGATATTTCTTGCACCTCTGATAGTTACCCTGCATCATCTTGGACCTGGAGAAACTGCCTGGAGCCTGATCCTTCTAAGTAAATAGTAACATTTTTCTCTCCTGTTGATAGCAGTGAACTTTTCTATGACACTTCTTTAGCTAAAATAAAGACTAGCCAGTGATTAGAAAACTGCAAAATGCACTCTTAGGTACTTGTAAAATAATAAATGGGAGCCCATCATAGAGATTAATCAATCTACTGAAGTCAATGAGAGATTTTTATTGATTTTGATGGGAAAACATCAGATCCACAATAATGTGTATATGAAGCTCTGTACAAATAAACACAGGTGGGTTTATATTAGTAGTTAGAGATGTATTTAAATGCACACAAACTAAATATTATTTCATGTATAAATTCTTCTTGGTCCATCAATTTGTCAGGACATACCTGAAAGTGCTAAGAGTTTCTTTGAAAAGCCTAATAGTTTCAGTACTTTGAAGTACATTAAGGATCTGATCTAGTGCCCAATAAAGTCAGTCATAGCCTTCAGTTACTTAACTAGGCAGTGAATTAAGCCCTAAATCTCCAAGAGAACAGGTGAATCTTGAAATGTGTAGTAATTACATTGCACTGAGATTATGAATGTACAATCTCATAATCCTACATGCATCATAACCTGTCAAATATAGTCATGACATTTTATGGCTAAGACTAAGTGTGTTAAAAAAGTTTTTAAAGTATTTGGACAATTTTCCTAACCTTGTGTTTTCAAAGCTATATCCCACTCTTCCAAAATAACTCTATTTGTACAAAAATTAGAAAGGAAAGACATCATATAACTGGTGTATTTAAAACATTCAATGTAGTTTTCAATAAGTAAAATGCTGTAATTGTGGAACCCAATGTCATGGAAACATTTTTTTCTTGAATTAAGGGACTTGTATGTAAATCTGGGTGATTTTTTTTGGCAATCAGCAAATTCATTAAACATGCCATCTTTTGTCATCCCAAAGGTATTCATGTATTTGGATCCAGTTTTCATTCCAAAATAGTTTGGAATGAAAAACATTTTCAGGGTTAGATTCATAAAACTGCCAAAGAAGAGGAGCTTCACCTTTTACTCAGCTGCTCACCAGTCACTTAGGATATAGGAGGATATTGAATTATGTTCAATTACATAAACTGCCTAAGGGGATTTGAACTGGCATCTTCCACCTCCTAGGCAAAAACACTTATCATATAACTATAGGGTATTTGGGAAGTTGGTGGAAGCATGCTTTCCCTTTCTCTTGTTGTCATGGTTGCATTTTTGTAAATATTCAGTAGAGAAGGATCTAAAACCCAGGTCTACCACCTGCCAGGAGAGAGTGTTTTACTCATTAGAGGGCGCCATTCTTACATTTGTGCTTAGTTTCTCAGTGAGCACTTCTACACGAGACGCTGACTGTTCAGTAGCCAAAAAACACTGAGCAGTAGTGTGTCACAGCATGGACAATGCTAATACGCTACTGTACAGTATTATTAGGTTACTGCGCTGTAGTGTCACCTAAAAGATGCTCGCCGGTGCTGCTGTGCAGTAATTCCAGTTAGTGTGCATTTATTTAGTACTTGCGGTGTTATTTTCAAAAGACCAAGGAGTTGATAAAGCTTGTTTATTTAGACAGCCTTCTTAGCCTACTGATCTGCTCTTCTCTCCTGCAATCCCCAGACCAATGTAACAACATATAGATAACATTCTTAAAGGTATCCACATAGTTGCTAATACAAGTACTAAATAAATGCACAGTAACAGCTGTGCAGCAGTGTCTTGTGTAGACACACACCGTAACAATTTAAATAATCTATACAAAGTAGAATAGCTCTGGTGGGAGAAACTGTAGGACTACCTTGTAACCTGAGGGTTAGGGCACTCACACCTGGGTTCCAGTCCCTGGTTCAGTGAATAATTAAATATTTATACATGGTGAAACAGTGTCAGTAGGAAACAGTGAGAAGATCCCAACTTAGAATTTCAGAGAACATGGTGGTTAGTGCACTTTCCCATAGCTTGGGTGAATACTCTTATGACTGAGATATTAAGTAAAACAAAGACTCCTCCTTCTGCCCCTGAGGTTTTGTGAGTCTCTCCTTTTCCTTCACTCTTTCTGTGAATGTCAGACATGAAAGCTTCTGTTTCTGATCAAGTTAAATGTTTTGTGTCGAGTTATATGAGTTCTTTATTTGACTGATAAAAAGCAAAAACATTTAGACCTGGTTCAGGCTAAACCAAATATAATTTTTATGATCATTCAGTTCAGTAGCTGACCTGAACAATCAGTTATTTGCAGAGGCCTGAACACTTGTCAGTCTGCTCTCTCCTAAAGTACAAAATCCCTTTTTTTGTGCTTAAATATGGTAGTCAAGAGTGAATATTTCCATATACTGGTGTGTATATGTGTAATTAGGCCTGTGTGAAGCAGCTAGTATTCACTTTGGATCTGGATTCGGCCAATTCAGGGGACAGTGATTCAATTCGGTGATTCAGATCACTGTCTTGAATTGATTTGGCCAAATCTGATTTGGAGATTCAGCTGCTGTCATATCAGCTGAATCTCCAAATCACGCAGGCCCTATCCGCCCGCTCTCCCAGCCCTGCCCGGCCCAGCTCCCGGCTCTTTGGGAAAAAAAAGCCCCACTTACCAGCTGCTGCCAGGTGGAGGGGCAATTCCTGATGCCCCCCCTTCCCCAAGCTGCGAGAGGGGCTCTGGCATGAGCCCCCCATCCCCCACCCACTCTCCTTCCCGGCCCAGCTCCCGGCTCTTTGGGAAAAAAAAGCCCCACTTACCAGCTGCTGCCAGGTGGAGGGGCAATTCCTGATGCCCCCCCTTCCCCAAGCTGCGAGAGGGGCTCTGGCAAGACTGCTGCAGCAACCAGTGAGTCCAGAGGTGGGGGGCGGGGCAGCCATGGAGGGGGCTGGGAGAGTGAGCAGGGGCTGAGGGTGCTCAGGAGGGCTGGGGGAGCAGGCAGGGAATGGGGCTTGGGCG